ACTAGACCGATGGTAACTCTCTTAGTCGAGTCGTTTTCTTATTGCCTGAATGAAACATTTTCTTATTGCCATTCATATATTTTTTATTATGTTGACATCATAATTTATGTATTCTTGTGATCTTGCTGACACTTTTCAAATAGTTAACAATTCAATTTTAATCTCATAAATAGTAAAAATATTGAAATTTATTGCAGACACAAAGCAATCATTTTTACAAGCATTTGCATATATATTATTATAGAATCAGAATATTTAATCGTTAGAGTTATCACTCGAATTCACTATAAGTATTCTTGTCAACTCCAGACTCCTGTCCTGCTTGTTGTGTGCTTAAGGAATTTTGGTTTTAATTTACAACGGTTTGCTGTTGTTCTTTTTGATCAGGACAAACAGTCTGTTGTTGTTGAAATTAATTACAAATTTCTCTTCTCAAGGCGGTTCCTATTTTTATTAGAAAAGAAAAACTTAGGACTTGAGGACTTTGACTGCTAGACTTTATTCACCGCGAAATTACCAATCAGCGCGGCTTTCTCTTTTATCTGTAAATACAGCTTTTATGGCAGCTCAGATCAGATGTGCCAAGCCATGATAAAAAGGTACATATGAATGGTTAGTAAAACTAATATGAATTTTTTTACAAACGAATTCATTTAGGAGCGATTCAGCGTCCACTAGTTCCTTAACAAACCCTGCGAAGGCTGATTTCTCATTGAAGAACTTGACAGAAAGGTGAAAATACTGTGAAGTGCCAGGCTGAACATTTTTTTCCTGGTTACCCTCGTTGCTTAATGACACAACCTCTTCAGATAAATGTGCTATAAGTTTTCTTAGGAATTTCAATTCGTCCAAAATTCATTTCTTAAACCTTGCACTGAAAAGGATTCAAGAAAAAAATATGAAGTTCAAAATTTGATACTGATAAACATACGAGTATAATATATTTGAAAGAAACTTAAAATTACTTTAAATTGGTGTTGTTTCTAATGTAGTGTAAACAAAAACTGGATGCTGAGATTCCAATTTATTTGATGCATCTTGATTTAAAGGGAAAAATCGACTAATTTTACAATTTATGAAGAAATATTGGTATCATCGCTCTCTGACCTTCATTTTGAGTTGCGCAAGAGATTTCATTCCCTTCTCACTTAATTAATGATATAAAAACAAACGCTATTTTGATGTAAACTTCAGCAAAATTAATATTGATGCTGAAGAAAATTTTAAAATACCATAATGGAATCGGTTGGTCTAAGTAATTTTTTAATTTGTGTATATCACGTCCATGACAATATTCTACTCCGTCCGGATTAAAAGGGTTATTGCATCATTGGCTAAACAAAAGTTATCAGACTTTGTTATTGAAAACTAGAATTCACTAGTCATGCTATCTGCTCCTTCTTGCATTGTTGCTATACTTTTTAAGCTCATCTCTACTTGCCTATGATACGTTCAATTGCATATGCTTTCCCTTTCAATAATTTTTTTAATTTCTTGAAGGCGATTTTCAAATTTTAATGCGTTTATTTTTTCGAGTGATCCAAATCCTTGAACATCTTTAGGCAAGGGTAGAAGGCAGTGAAAATTGAATGTTAAAAACCCTAAATGGTGATGCTTAAGAATATCTTCAAAAAGCGACTTGCACAACTTGAGTTTACTTAAAATTCTTCTGATCAAAACAAAATAAAGTGGCAACTTAAGAAAATTAATATGTCTAAGAAGAAATGGTATTAAATTTAGTATCGCCCACTTCTTTAATTCTTTTTTTAAATTTTATTTTTATTCTGACGGAATGTCTTTTTGAGGTCTTTCTATGTCGTGGCTGCTGTATAGAGGTATTCAATGTTACTGTCAATCTCAATCGAAAAAATCTTTGGCATTAGATAGGTCAGAATTTATGGTTTCCGAAATGCATAGTTTTTTCATTCGGGAATCTTCTGGCGCATTATTTTCCAAATTGTATATTCGGCCGAAAATATGGCTTCAGCGGTTATAAAGCGCCAATTATTGTTATTATATATTTATTGTATTAGTTTTGTAGATTCCCTTTTGCTATTTTTCGGGCAGCACTTGAACACATCATCATTATTACTTTTATTACGGGAAGAGATAACTGCCTGAGCGAAAGTTATTTCATTGTTTAAAACGTCATTTTTGTAAGCACATACCGGTTTTTTAGTCCCACAAAGATCATTTAAGTGAAAGATACGAAGGCGATATTAGCGGCGACAAATTTTTTGCTATGGGCGTCTCGTTTTCTTTTTCTGTCATTCATTTTATGATCACCATTTTTCACTACGAACTGAGACCATCAGGCAACAAATTGGCAGCGATCCAGTACACGAATTAGAACCACAAGCAAATATTTTTGTTTTATCACTACGGCAATAAATCGGCATTTAGCCTTTTAAATTTAGTGGTTCAATTTAGTTCAAAATATGCTTATTTCGTTATCCGAACCGATCATTAAATACAAATCACACTCTTTCAAGATGATTTTTTGCATTAATTAATTCATAACTCGACTATTCCTCATATTACAATATGTATGTATGTACATATATCACTGCGCATTCCTTTTCAAAGAATTATTGAAGGAAACTAACAGGCCTATTCTGTCGGGGTAACAAAATTTGCCTAGGTATTAAAATTTACCATTCAGTAAATTTTGTTACCATTTCGCATTCTGAGTTACCCTGTAAATTTTGTTACCAACGAAATAGGAGGTAACAAAAATATCTGCTGTTTGATTTTGTGTTGTTAGTTTCAGAAAAATTAAAAACCAAAATGAGTAGACATATTTTAGGCCTGGAATTCATTGAAGATGAAGAAAAAAGTGCAAAAAGCCGTATTTTAAGAAGTTTTCCAGACAAAATATGTATAATATCGTTTTCATTCAGCTTTTTTTTTTGTACAGGCATATTTGCCATAATTAGTTTCAAATATTTATGATTTAATAAACAAACTAATAAAACTTTTTAATTTTTTTTGTGCACCGTCTTCCATTTCGATGTGAATATTACCTTTTTACTTTATCAACTGGCAAATGTAATTTGACATGGACGAAAAAAGCAGTGCTGCCAATTTTTTTTCAAACATTGTAACCAGTTCGCCAGGATACCAAATTCAATTTCGGGTGTTAAAGAAAAGTAACAAAATTTACTTTACCGGTAACAGTGAGAATGGGCCTGTGAATAGTTAAATAGAAATTAATTTCTTCTTCTTCTCTTTGTTTACTTTTTGCACAAAAATAATGAGTTCAATAAGTGGTATATTCAGTTGTACCCAGCAGAATCTCCAGTTATATTCTGTATGCAATATGTAATTAAACAAATGCACAAATGTTTTCATAAATGGTAAAAAAAAAATGTTAAAGTTGAACCATCTTCCCGTGCGAATAATTTAGTTCATCACACTGTAAGCATTTAAAAACTCAAATTCTTGTTTTAAAAAATTAATTCTTTCTTTCTGTTACTTGAAATTCAAAATTTATAAAAATCAGGAATGCCTTTCCATTTCTCCTCTGCAAATGCATCTCCATTCCCTTCTCAAAAAGAGGTTTATTTTCCTTCGGCGCGCGGTCCGATGTAATTTCGCAAGATAGACAGTCGTATTTCTTTTCAATTAGTCTACTGTGATTGCTACATTTCAAAGCGAAACCTTCATTGTGTTTATTGACGCGCGTTCTTTACTCCACGCTCGGTGTTAAGAGTACCGAGACTGGGCCCTTCTAAGCCTTTTCTCAGTACTTACGAACTATAATTTCACCAGCTTACAATTATTTTTTTGAAGATCGGTGTACGTTATAAGAAACATAGTTTTTACTCGTAGCCTGAGTATGGCATCAGTGTACTTTTTCGTCATCACGTAAGGATGGAATCATCTAATTTTTGAATACTTATATCCTTTAAATTCTTTATACTCTACAACCACCCTTTACATGAAAAAATTTGCTATACCTGTAGGCAGAGTGTTGCTAATAAAATCAGATAGAAATAAAATGAAATACCGGCATAAATTCTGCTCAAAATACAAGTAGGATGACTATAAAAACAAGTAGCCTTCATCATCGCCTTAACACAGGACTTTTCGAGGGTATAAGGATATCATTTACCAGATTAAATGACATTTAACACTTGTCTTTCTACATCCAGATTACCTTACATTAATTTATTACATTTTCCGAATTGTTGATTCGTGGATAAATGCATGGGCATAGATTCGTATGCATGTGTAGTTGCTGATTCTGCTTAACAAAGCAAAAGGTGGAACGAAATTGTTTTAGGAATATTTAAGCACAGGCAAAATCGCCCACTTAATTGGCGTTAACGAAAGGACCCTCGCCTCTTTGGTAACCGAAGTTCATCAAATGGTAGAACCCCTCTGTGTGTTGACGCTTTTCACAGCCGGATTTAAAAGCCAAGGAAATTAAAGTGAAATTAAAATATGTAAATAGAGAGCACATAATTGTGGTGCCTTAATTAGAACTTTAAATATATGAATATTTGTATGTAAATAAAAATTATTCGGCGTAATAGAGTTGCGTCTAATTGACTCCTTTTGAAATACACCAGCAAACAAACTCAAATATAAAGTTGTTACATTTTGCTAATCGTCTCGTCTACGCAACTTTTTCTCTTATCGCACCAATGCTATGAGGACATTAGTAACATTATATGTATACACATATCTACATACATATGTATGGATGTCTCATACGATATGTCTAACAGATTTCCCAGCGATACCACAGCAGTTATTCACTGAACCAGAAGCACCTACCCGTAGCGGTGATTATCAGGTTTATCAGATTAGGACATCGTTGTTACTCGCGATTTCGTTTCTCACTCGCAACAGTTGGAGAATTGTCACAAACTTGTATCAGCCCTGTCCGCTCTGAGAGAGAGAGTGTAATAACATAAAGTTGTCCTGAGAGCAGTAATATACCTTAAAACAAATGAAAATCATTTCCAGGAGCACAGTTACGGGGATGCAGCGAGCAAAGCAACATCTGCTGCTGTGCACCATTTAGGCATCGCATAACGAGTGCTTTGCTTCAATGGAAATTTGTGCATTTGTAACGGGCTTTGGAGCAAAAATGTCCATAGGCATCAAAGAACTAAGTGTAAAGTCTGCATCTTTTCACCACTATATCAAAATGAGTGAACAAATGGTTTGGTGGTCATGTGCAGTTTATAGAGAGCAGGGCAATCCCCTATTGCATTGTTGTGTTTGTAGTTAGTGTAAGCGCATTTGCTCGGGACTGCTGACCCACATTGGCGATACTATGTATGCGACGCGGTATTCGTACGTGCTCGGGATGAAGAAAGAAAATATCTACTCTGTAGAAGCAAAAGTGTACTTATGTACTCATATATAAGTAATATATGACTGCATACACATCTAAGAACTTACATATACGAATAATACGAAATGATGCATATAATAATGCATTGATTTATGAAAATCTCTAAGATAAAGAAAAACTGCAATCTCCATATTGGAGAATTATATGAGTCAGTGGTAATACATATAGCTTTAACAAGCTTTCCTTCCTTATTTAAAGCGTCGTTAATTAACTACGGTGGCCACGGAAAGCATCAAAACGTCAAGTTCATGGGCAATTTACTCGAGAATGAGTTTATCATAATATTGTGGTGACTAAGTGCAAACAGTAATCGAAAGGGAACAATGAAATGGTAATCATCAGGAATTAAAAATGCCGTTAAGGTGTTCACTAAAATGTTAAGAATATTTATTTAAAAGCATATAAGAAATTTCTCTTCATAAAAATCCAAAGCCATTAGCAGGCCACTTACACAAAATCTGTGAAAAATATAAAGTCGCACATCATAAATGGAAAAGAGGCTCGGCTGAAAATCGCTTTAGTGTTTATAAAGCGTGAATTATATGTATGTATACGTGTTGTATGTATATAGTATAATAATGACAAAGAACTTTGTATTTTGGATGTTTAGGATAACTGTCTCAATGTGAAATAAATGCCCGAGTGGCGTTTTTACTTTATTAAGCTGATTTAATTAGCTTGATTACTAGTTGCTCCTAATTTCATCAAAATCAGCTTCGCTTGCGCCATGGCTCGCCGCTTAAAAGAAAAGCTTCAACTTAAAGGTCTATTCTGTCGAGGTAATAAAATTTACTTTGGTATTAAAATTTGCCATTCAGTAAATTTTGTTACTATTTCGTATTCTGATTTCAGTGTCACCCTGTACGTTTTGCTACTCGCGCAATAGGAGGCAACAAACAATCTGCTGGTTAATTTTGTATTTTCAATTCGTGAAAAAATAAAAATCAAAATGTATAGGTTTGTTTTAGGTTTGGAATACATTTATTTCGAGCTTCTAAACGAATAAGCACGATATGACAACTCATACATAATTTTTGAATAAATTTTTTTTAAACAGAAGACATCGTCGCTATTTTATTTGAGATTTCGCTCAACAATATATTTTTTTCCCACGGATCGTGTCAGGAATTGTCTAACCACTATTAGCCAGCTTTCTGTTTCGCGATCACTGCACTATATTTCAAATTTGATTGAAAAACCAACAACAAATGAAATGAAAATATACATACATATGTATATATGAATATTCTTCTTCTTTCTATTTTACTTTACCAACTGGCAAATGTAATCTGACATTGATGAAAGAAAATAGTGCAACCAAAGTTTTGACAATCAATGTAATCTGTGGGAATACTAAATTCAATTTCGGGTTTTAAAAAGTAAAAAAAATTACTTTGCCGGTTAGCATGTTAATCTGAAATTATGCTTGGGACAAGTACGAGGACGTGTCACTGATACCTTGTTCGGACCCACATCAAATACATGTTTTCGTAGCAAAAAGTGGTTATTGGGGGAAAACTTGTGTTTTCATCAAAAAAATAAAATCTGTCGAACAAAACAAACTAAAAATCAGTTTTCCCTGAAACTACTTGAAAACTCACAATTCACTCATTCCAAATGATGTCTGCACTAGGCTGTTAGATATTTTAATCGAAGTAGATGGCAAATTTTGTCATTCCAAAGAATATGATTTTAAAATGAACTTAAATTGGAAGAGTAAGTTAACTGAATTACCTTTTTAGATTTTTACTTTCTCACAAACCATACAATCCATCAGCGAGTGTTGCAGAAAATTTTTATGAAATATTTGGTAGTTAAAAAATATTTTTCACTTATGAATATTTACTGTCTATGGTACAGCAGTTATATTGATTTGGAGCCTTAAGCGACCGCATCCTATCTTCTGCTTCTTTTATGGTGATATCGTTGAGTTTTGTAAAATTTCTGTACGCGCAACTATGTCGTACGAGGTACAGGTACGCACACTTCCATACAGAAACATATACTTAGTTAAATGTTACTATTAAAAAACTTTAAACTTTTTTATTAAAATTTGATTCATTATCTACAGCATCAACAAAACTAGAATATCGCATAGCTCACAGTAAACAAAACTTGTTTTTAAAGTGTCTTGATTTCCGTTTGGTATTCACACATATTCAACTAAGTTGAGCAATTAGTATTCAATTATCAATTGTATTTATAAAGAACAACTTAAAATTTAAATAATATATGATAGACGTGTAAGGAACCATAGAACCTATTTTGTTAATACGATTAAGTAATCATCACATTCAAACTCCAAACACGAAAGTAAATTCACAGCACATTTTTCAAAACAAGCAGTCTCATATTTAATAATAAATAACACATATTTTTAAAGAAGCTATAATTTAAAAAAATAGTAAAAATATTACAATGAAAAAAATTATTTTTACTATCACAAACATTCAAATCATTAAATCGTTGCTGCGTCTTTCAATCGCAAAGAAAACTTTCACCGTGTTTAACCGATTCATAGCCGATATTTTCAGAAAAAAATGTGCGTTAAATTAATTTTCCTCCTTCAGCCGGGTTCGACTTGCAACGGAGGCTAAGGTGATAACCCAAGTGTCCAAGTGTTGTGCTGTGTTATGTAATATTGTGCGACTATTTCTACCTCTTCTTTGATTGTGCATAGTTTATGAAAAGAGGTTTTTTCCAAATCTCATTGCGTATCGGCCAGGGCACTTAACATAGTCGTATACCGAATTCAGACAGAAAGGGGTATATTGAAGGTAGGTAGAAGCTATTGCAAGTACATTGCTATTCAATAGGCTGGAAAAGTGTTCCCTCTATAAACCTAATATGGTCTGGACAACAGTCGCCAGATTAGCTACATGGTTTCCACATGAATACTTGCTTTGGTCGATCTAATGCGACATTGCGTCGAAGATCTAGAAAACAGAAAACATATCACGTGATTGATTTGGCTACGATGTTTTCGATCTTGTAACAGCCACATAGCTTAATGAATTTTCTTGTACTGAGATCTAGTATTACAGGCAACGTCTGGGGATGTTTCACGCTGCAATTTTCAACTATTGTGCCACTCTGACATAGGCGACTTTAAAACATGATTTGAAATCGAAAGATCTGCGATAGATTCTTCCATAGCATTGTTATAAGACTTTGGTCAATATAAAGACACTAGTAAAGGCACCTCCACAAGTCGTTATCAATATCTTCAATATCTTAGAATATTAATTTTTCCACTTACGGCAGATATAAAAGCACTTCATGAAAATTCACCAACCGTTCAGAGGCAGGGCACACCACAAATCACAAGAGGAACTCGACAAAAAATCGCTTAAGCGTTTACAAAGCGCCAAGTCGAGATTTCCTGCAGCGAGGCGACAGCAATTAGAAAAATTTACATTTTTTACATCTTGGATGTTTCAGACCAGAACTCGAACTCTGGCCTTCCGAATGTCTCTCATTATTATTTATCGGTTCTTAATCATAATAAAAATATTCCGAATCGAAATTTAATTAACAATTTCTCGCTCTAACTTTAACAAGTAAAGTACAGTAGTTAATGTTGATTGACTGAGAATTACTTAGGTATTCTAAGATTTGTTTGAAAACTTAGTTATTGCTAAATACATTTTTTTGGCATTCTTTTTAAATTTTAAATTTTTTTAATTAGTTTTTTGTATTTCCTTTTTACTCTTATCCCTATCCGTAAAAATATTATCTCAGAATAAATATCAATAATAAATAGTGAAACTTGAACCGGGCGTAATTCGTTAAAAATTTGGCTTGCATCAGATTGTGCAAAGTTGTTTAATTAGTCGGTATATATTTATTACATTACATCAACTCTAATCTGAATTTGTGATATAAAAAGCAAACTCAAGCAAATTGATAGTTGAAGATTCCCTTTTAACAAAGTTATGAATTTATTGTATCAACTGGTATTTGATACGATTCTTAATACTCCATCTCCGCTTTTAATAGCTATTCAACCCAATGAAGCGAACTCAGAAAATTGTTTCAAAGCGTTCGAAGAAGATGAAATCTACCCCAACAAACATAAAGGGGGCCGAAAGGCAACCTCTATTAGAAGTATTATTTTCTTATATAAATTTTCCAGAATTTTGAATGTTTTTCTGGTAATGGTCAATGGTCGGCCAGTTTATCGCGTTCCAACAAATGGAGGGATTTTTATTTCATTGCAGAAATATAATCGAAAATCTTGGCATAAACTTTTTGTGGGCGACCGCAATTAATATATTTGGCTTACAAATTTTTCTTTTAATAAATTTTCTTTCATTTTTTGATATTGGTCGACTATCGCGGTCATGATTTAAACACAAATGTATTTATATAAATTATGAAGATAGCGTGCAACTTTAAAATATTAATGATTTTTTACTAGGCTCTATTAAATAATGTGTTTTTTAAATTTGTCAATTTAATTGAAAAGATCTTTTTCCTTTTTGGCAGCAATGGAATCGAAAGTAATTTGGATAATAGCGATATTCTATACAACTCTCCAGCATATCGTTTCCTCCTCATCGCCACGTAAGTCGATTCTACGTTTTTTATTATATTCTATATAATTCTAAATAATTAAATCAAAATAAGACAATAATATAATATATGGTGCTGTTAATAGACATTTAATTATTTATAAAACTTTTCTTGACGAAGAGTTCCAAAGATACATATTAAACAACATAAATAACCACCGTATTATTTCTGTAAAAGATTATTTACCTAAATAATCGACTTATAGTTCTCACTGGTCGAATACAACTCCGACCCAAAAACAAACAACTCCCTCGAGCTTAGGTTTTCAGTTTTTATAATCTTATTGAAAAATGAAATGAATAGATATTTTCGATGCAGTACTCGCTGGTGGAAGCAGAGAAAGCGGAAAGTAAGAAATGAATGGCGCATTGTTATAAATTCGAATATAATGGTGTAAGCGGTGTCTGCGCAAATAAAGAAGAAGAAGTAATAGTGGTAGGAAAAAAAGAAAGAGGCCGAATCGCGTGATTATGAAGAGCTGGAGAAGCTGGCGGACAAGAACATTGCTCGGAAATTCTACGAAAGTATATGGCGACTTACAGAATGTTTCAAAACCGAAACTCTTGTAGGAGCCAGCGGGGTGATCTGGTGACGGGTGTACAAGATCTCCAATCTGCTGAATAACAGTGAAAATGAAACACCCAATAATTTCATTAACTGACTATGACAAGAAATTTCAGTGTACCCTACAGTCTGCGCCAACTACCGAAGTCGTAAACAACTTCGTCTATCTTAGATGTATTAATCCAACAACAATATAACCCTATAAATCCAACGCAGAATCACTCTTACCAGCAGGTGCTACTTTGGACTGAGTAGGCAAGTCGCTTATCGTTTCTCGTCCTGCTATACGGTGCAGAGGCATGGACGATGACAACTTCTGATCAATCGGCATTGCGTAAGATTTATGGTCCTGTACGATCAGGTTGTACTTGGTATCTCCAATGAGCGCCAAACAACGAAAATAACAAATGAATAGCGCAGTCGTGTAAGCGGTGTCTACGCTAGTAAAGAAGAAGAAGTAAACTACATAGACTTACTTAATTTTGAATATTTAACGTCTTAACTAAGAATCCTCATGTATGAATATGAATCTAGCAAATTATATCTAATTTAGGTACAAAATTTAGCTCACAAATTTTTTTAGAATGCCATATACGTGTTGGTATTTTATTGTATTTTCAACTCAACTTGAATTTAGCTTTTCTTAGTTTTCATATCTCGAGATGAAGAAGAATAATACTTAGAAGAATGGAGTTATATATTACATGTGAAATATACAATATATCATACTTCATTGCGAAAATTCCAATTTTCATATGATTTTTCCAATTTTTAAAATTTTGTCTTCACAGTGAAACGTCCGAGAGCAGGGGATCCTTTTGACACATTTCCAAAGAATTTCTGGCAAGAATTCTCTTCACCTTTTACGGACACACCAGAGGATGAAGAATCTGAAATAACAGAAACTACAACTCACGAGCCGTTTCCATTCTTTGCTGATCCCTACACGACTGTTAATGTCAGCACACAGTTAAGCTCTAATGTACAGCTGCATTGCAGAGTCAACGATCTGCAAGGAAAAACGGTAAGAAAATGATGTTTCTTCATTCTTAATGCAACCATAAGTTTACCATATGTCTAAATTATTAGTTTCGACGGTATCGTATCGTATTAACCTAAAAAACATATTTGTGTATGTACCGTGTAAGACGTATGTATTTGGTTTGAAAGAGTGCAGTCTACGTTAAACTGCTGGCCTGATGGCCTGAATGTTCCAGTCGCAAGACGCGATATTCCATCATGATAACGCAAGTTACATTCCCATCGATAATTCTTCAAAAATAAACGGTACTCAATTCTTAACTGCTACAATATCCATCTTGTAGCCACTTCTATTTAATAGGCTATTAAAAATGAGTTAGAGCTTGCAAAAAAGGCTTTTTTGAGTGAGGAGCTTTTACAGAACGATGAAAAAAAAATTAAATAAATATGCTTTTAAAACCGAGAACAGCCAAATATTGAATGCAAATTTTTTTTCAATAACACACATGTTTAATGAAATAAGTTTATTGTATTTTGATTTATTATTTTAAATGTTTAATACATTTATCACCCGTACCAAAAATTCAGCTTCAATAATTTTTAGCAAATATTCGCTAAATAATTTCACTAGTGTAATTTAGTGTAAAATTTTAACGACTCTTCTAACAATATATTTGTTGTTTTCAAAAAATTTGCTCTCTATCTCTTCTTATCTGAGTTGGAAGATACAAATTCTTCATGTAATAAATATTCAAGAGATAGGGTTGTATTTTGCTATTGCATATATAACGATGAGATGGAAGAGATGTCTCCCAATGGAACTATAGGAAAGCGACTAATTTCCTTGACAAATCTATTACCACCTACGTATAACGTTTTTTTATTTACGTTCACTTAAATTCCCATTATACCTAGTGGATGTTTTTTATGATTTTTTATTTGTACTTACAATGTGTTTTATAGAGATATATGTACATAAATATATACATACTCGTACGTACTTATGAGCACGAATGAAATATTATTCACACCTAAGGTATCATGGATGCGACGCAAAGGTGACGAGCTGGCGCTGATCACGTTCGGTCTCCACACATACAGTGGCGATGCGAGATATTCCTTGGAGTTTGAAGAGCCAAACGACTGGAAGCTTTCAATACAGTATGCGAATGAACACGATGAAGGGCCCTACGAATGCCAAGTCTCATCACATCCGCCTTTAGTATTGTTAGTATATTTAACTGTAATTGGTAAGTTGTAATAAATTACAAATATATTCTCCAAGCAACGCGTTAAGGTATCATGGGCTACGTCTATCAATTCCCCCACTGGGGTGTTTGATTTATGAGTGCATATAGTATACGTCAAAAATTTGTGTTACTAGTCAGGGTGTGAAAGGCGTCAAGTCTGCAGGTCAGGCAGCAACTTTCATTACACTATTCTTTATACAGGTGGCCGCAATAACCGAGTGGTTATCATTGTGCAACGCGGATGACCAGGGTTCGAATCTGCTTCGACCAATTTCCAAAAATTATAGACAATTAAATTTTCTAATTGCGGTGGCCCCTCGGCAGGGCGTCTTAAGCCTTCCGAGTGTATTTCTGACACAAAATAAGAGCTCCTCATAAAAATTCATCATCCGTTCGGAGACAGATTTTAATAAACTGTAGATCCCTTCATTTTTAGAAAAACATCCTGACGGAAAACCCTAAATTGAAGGAGAAGCTCGGCCGATAATCGCAAATCAAATATGTATATTTTGACCGATTTTAATCAAATTTGCACACCGTGTGCAGTTTTATCCAATATAAGATACCATGATATTTTATAGTCGCAATCTTAGTTTATTGCAAATTATTTGTCTGTTATTTGACATTCATAATTATCTGTTAGTCACAAACAATTTTAACAGATGGCGACATCTTTTCACTGGATTGAGTGATCAGTAGATGGTGCTACTATGTTAGACCTACAAACGTGTTCTATAAGCCACAATTTAATAGCATAACCACCACGTGTTGTTGAGGCTAAAGTATAAGTTAAACTAATTTTGTAGTAAACGAAATACAGTGAAAATCAATTGTTTTGATTTTTTTAATTTTTTGGTGTTAGCATAGCCTGGACGGAATGGCCTCTCCGAGCCGTTCGATACCAAACGAGGTTTCAGACAGAGTGTTTTTTTATCGTGTGACTTTTTTTTACTTATTATTGGAGAAAATAATACGAGTTGCAGAGCAGAGAAGGTACAATCTTCTATAAGAGTGTACAGCTGCTGGCATACGCTGATTATATTGACATTATTGGTCTTAACAACCACGCCATTAGTTCTGCTGTTTGTTATCAAATAAACATTAATCGCATGCGCGACTCCACTTTCACGTCGCTGTTGACAGTCATAACTTTGAAGTCGTTGATAACTTCACATATCTTAGAAGTTTTAACCCAACAACAATGTGAACCAATAAATCCAACGCAGAACCGATCTTACTAACAAGTACTACTTTGGACTGAGTAGGCAATTGAAAAGTGAAGTCCTCTCTCCAAACTCTAAAAGTCCCTCATCATTGCCGTCCTGCTATATGGTGCGGATATAAGGACGATGACAACGTTTTGCGTAAGATTTATGGTCCTTTCCGCATTGACAATGGCGAATATCGCAGCCAATGTACGAGTTATTGGCGACATTGAGGTCATGTGGTCCGGATGGATACGAATACTCGAGCTCTGGACGTTTTCGATGAAGTGGTCGCTGGTGGAAGCAGAGGAAGAGGAAGACCTTCTCTCCGTTTGAAGGACCAGGTAGAAAAGGAGCTGGCTGTGTCGCTTGGTATTTGCAATTGGCGTCAAACAGCAAAAAGAAGAAACGAATGGTGCAATGTTGTTAAATCGACTATAATCGCGTAAGCGGTGTCTACGCCAGTAAAGTAAGTATGTGTAGCCTGAAGTGTAAATAGGATTCATATTATAACTGCAATAAACATTTTTGTGGTATAAAATTAGGCATGATCGGATTGTACTGGCTGTTGCTGCTGAAGGCGGTTTTTTTTCTTGGATGCACCATGTACAATAGAACCGGCAAGAAATTTTTAATGTCGTTGTTTCTTGCCAACAGAAAAGCAGTTGTATCGTCAGTCATTGCAGCTACTTTGTTAGATGATGGGCGATCGTCACTTTCAACATTCAATCTGTTATTTGACATTCATAATAAACCAAATGCAATGAGAATAGCAGAATAGCTGCAGTATTACGGAAGAGTTCAAGCTTGGGATGAATGCATAATGACTCACATATAATAAACTTTTCGGCGGTGCTCTCTTACTTTTGTGATTTGGTGATTTCCAACAGACCGGTCTACTTTCGGGGATGGGATTAATACGAATGCATTTGTGTTGAAATCCTTCGAGTGACCATAAATAAAATCGTACGATTACAAAATGATTTATAGCATAAATTTTTTCCGAACAATCACGCGATACATTAAACTGCCAGACAATTTTTGCACTTATTTTCGGGAAAAAATGAATGGATTTAGAGTATTTTTCAGGATATACAGAATAATTACTTGAATCATAACTGCCTCAGCAATCGGGCAATTTTGGAAAACGAAATAGTTGATCTCGACAAAATTAACTTCCAGATACAACAGTTATCACCGGGCGATCTGATGTCTTTTAAACCAATAGATACTGTTGATGGAAATGAAAGTGTAAATTTTCCAATTAATTGTTTGAATTCAGTAAAAATACCTGCGAATACCATCACGATTGGTGCCTTATTATTCTCCTACGCAATTTGAATTCGCCTCAATTACGCAACGGTACACGTTTGGCATCAAAAAGATAACCGGAATTATTTTATGAATTAAGACTATTTGCCCTGCCTATCCCATTCATAAGTTTACGTCTCACATATTATTTACTAACAACTTTTTCAAATACTCATCTGTTACAAACTTGAATAAAAATTGTTTTTTGCTTATTATGAATTGTACGAAAATCGTGTTCAAAGTACTTCCATTCAAATCCCAATCCAGTGGATTTTTAGAAGATCTTTAACGTTTCGGTCTTAGTTCGTAAATAATAATTTTGTTGTATTACCGGGTTACGGTAGTAGAAAATCTATCATGAAGATCGCCATATTAGTTTCCTGCAATGTAATAAAGAAAAACCAAATTTTTGCCTTCTGTCAGAAAAAAATGAATTACAACAATAACAAAACGGATTCAAATGTAACTGCGAAAATAAACAGACGGATTACAAGTTGCTGGCTAATTTTTACTAAATCCTCCCTCTTTGGGAGAGTATATATATATATATATATATAATGGCGCTTTGTAACCGCTGAACCGATTTTCGGACGAGTTCCTCCTCTAATTAGTGGTTTTACTTCTTGATGTTTTTCCAACAAATAAAGCTTATACTAAGCCGCCACCGAACGGCTGATGGGTTTTTATGATCAGTTTTTATTTCATGTCAGAAGTATACTTAGAAAATGTTCAAATTTCATTTTTTAATTATATTAATTTTATACAACTTTTGGATGTGGATTTGATTCCGGGGCTTCCGAAAGGCAATACGCAGGGCTAACCACTCGGGGACAGCGGCCACGATAGAGTAATATATATATGTCTTTTAATTTCGTTACTTTCCAATTCTTACTGACTTTTCTCACCAAATGAAGCTTATATATTATATAACTCTTTATGCTGTATTGAAATAAAAAAATTTTGGACGGAATCCTTACCAATTGACTTAATACAAACAGAATCCGACAAATACGAGCAATGTAGCGTCATTTATGAACTATCGAACCAAATTTTTAGTAACATTTAAATGCATCTCTCTTTTCATAGTTCCTCATGTGGAAATACTCGATGAACGAGATTCGACCACTCCTGAAAAATATTATAAAGCTGGTAGCACTATAGAACTGAAATGTGTAATATCGAAAATACCGCAGCCATCATCTTACATCACTTGGCGGCATGGTAAACGTATGCTGAACTACGACACCAGTCGAGGAGGCATCAGGTAATGTAAACTAATATTTAACTATTATGCTGCAACTATCCATTTAACATACCATCCGTAAATAACTGGAAGAGCGATATGCATACATGAGTTATCGACGCTACTGACAGCGGCGAAATATTGCATATATATGGTAAAAAATTATTACCATTTCTTTTGGAAAAAGTACGCATCTTCTTAGTTTATTTAATATTAGTTTAAAAAGTTAATACAGGCAACCTTGTATAGCAACGAGAAATGAGCCGAACCGATTTTACGGCTGGTTTCTCCGGGACAACCGTCAGTAACAGCATGGACAAGGGGTGACAACTGCCCCGCAGAAAATACTAGTGTTTGTATAGTCTATTACAGTCGGGTGTTATGGCTGAGCAGTAGGTTAGATGGGTAGATGCAGCATAATGGTTACGTTGTATCATGGCAACATAGTAAGATACATTTATTTAACGTTAAAATACTACGACCTACTCTAGTTAAAAAAAAAAATATAATAAAATACGTGTATTATCATTTAATAGTGGTTTTTATATAATTTCTTTTGAGACAACTTAAATATACGTTTTGAAATCAGTTGAACAATTTTTGTTTTACTTAATAAGTAGTTCATTTCGTCTTTAACTGAGTGTTATTTGTTATCAGGATTATAAATTGACTACAGTCATTTCAATTTTAGCCATTAGATTAGTGTTCATTGTGATAGAACAATGTTTTATTTTAAAATATGCATTTGCTATTTTTTCGGGAAAGCTTATACATATTTTTCCACAACACAAAAACTTTAACACTTCGAAATAACATACCATATAGGAGTAGCAGAGGAAGATTATTATTGTTATCTCACAGTTAAGATGTACATATGTAGAATAATAAAATTATAAATATTATTAAAAAAAATCCGTACATATGTCATTAATAGAAAAACTAACCTCTGTTTCATCCCTTCTTCAAAAGCGTTAAGACTGATATGCTGCCGGGGAGGGCTTTAAGTCGTCTTTACATAGCAAATGCCAATCGGCAAGATACTGGAAACTACACTTGCATGCTTGGCAGCGATATTTCTGGCACCGTTATAGTGCACGTTCTTAATGGTATCCAAGCCATAACTATTTATTAATTAAGACTATTAATTTTATTATTTTCATTTTTCTAGGTGAAGAACCCGCTGCTATGCAGCATGCGTCAGGTGCTAAGGTATGCTCTTCAATTTCGATTATTGTAGCCACAATGCTGACATCAAAAATTTGTCTGCGATGACAACAATAATGTGAAATATTCATTACTAACGCCAAGACCACTTGTCCAAAACTGCATTTTCTATGTCTACTCGTAACATAATAATGGGTTGTTTTAGCATAATAATAAAAATAGGCAAATATGTATAACAAATATATAAAATAATAGGATTAAATAATTAAATAGTTTTCACGCAATACTTCATACTTACTTAGTATAATTCTGTAAATATAGCTGTGCACATTTAGTTTTAAAGGATGTAAGTAAGTTTGTTGATATATTTACTTACATATATGTATATACACGTTATTATTAAAATAACTACAGAGTTATTCACTTTTTTACACTTTAATTAATATGAATAATATTCACTTCGTGTAGCGAGTTAAAACCACTTGGGTTCCGTGAGGAGTTCAAATGTTTAGGCGGTGGTCTGGTCTTGGGGACATGTAGATAATCCGATATTTAATTGAATTCATAGAAATAAGCTTCAATTCTCTCTTCGGCGGAGTGACTCATAAAGCAAAGCTTTTGGTTTAATGAGAGAACATAATATAAACTTTAGGTTATACCATTTAAAAAAATTATTTCTATTATGAAAAATCACTGGCTTAACTATTCAATTATTTTTAGCCAATTTAATCCTGTTGTCATTAACATACTTTAATTATTATCCTACTAAGCGGAAATACATTAAAATACATTATAAAAGTTGAAAGTGTATTTTAAAGATATAGTTTTCCGAAAATTCCTAATTCACCCTTAATTTTTTACCCACCAAAGTCAAACAAATTACGATATGAAAATGTGTGTTCCGTAAAATTATTAATAAGACAAGTTAAGCTATATATGTATATGCGTTATCTAATTTAATTTTTAATGCAAGTACATTTTTATGTACGTATATGTGTTTTCTACGTTACTACCTTACGTAACATGTAAATTATGTTAAATTTGTTAAGTGATGGTAAATTAAAAAATGAACTTTTAAAACAAGAAAATACTTTTATAACAATAAAAACTTTATTTCGTCGGAATGTAGTACTTAGGCATTCGTCAGATGACCATACCATTTGCCAGGGACTCTAGAAACATCACGAAAAAATCGATAGCTCATTTTGCTACCAAGGAATTGTTGCTTTAAAGTAAAATATACATATTTTTTTGAAATTGAATTTTTAAAAATTCATAATCAATTGTTATAAACATATTTTAGGAAAACGTACTATTTGTAAAACGTAATTGAACCAAAAATTACTTAATTACACTAAAAAATATAATTAAAGTTATTTATATAATTATAAAAAACGAATAAAAAACACTATACACACAAAAATACAAGCAAAATATATTATAGCAATTAGATTAGTGAAAGAAACTAGAATTGTAAAATGCGCATCCAAAAATGTATGAAAACGACTACAATCCATAAAAAATATGAACGCATTAGAGGACTAATACAAACATATACAAACAAACACGTACAGAACCTCTGAGACAAAAGAAAGCATGAAGGAGCCAAAATTTTAACAAACTGAGACAAACTAATCGAGTGAGATAATGAAACAATACTTATAGTAAAATAAACTAAAACCAAAATAACTGAAAAGATACAATTAAAGTGGGAATCAAAAGTCATACAAATATAAATGTATTTATTTAAGCATCATTGTAAAAATTTTGTACTTCATTCATAAATACATATGTCGTTAACACAAAATAAGAGAAAAGAATTCAATGGCTAGTATATACATATATATGTCAAATCATATTCAATTTAGTAATTCATTCTTGAAATTGGTAAAAATATTAAGCAATTTTAAACAAAATATTCATTAAATATATTTTTTCAATCCTCATTTAGAGACGGAAGTACTGCTTATTTTGTCCTTACACTTTATAGTCTGCAAAGACGCACAGTCAGATAAAGTAATCAACGATTTCTTCAAAACATGTGTGCCAAGAAAGCTGATGTAGTCACTCAACACAACACAGTTGACCAAGCAATTGTCAGTTGTCAGTCATAAATATACTGGATTAAAAATGAACCAGAATACGAATAAAACACTTTTTATCAATTTAATTTGTAATGTCCCTTTGTTGTACGTGTTTTTAGGCAAATTTATTAAATACTTCTTGAAATATTTACGAAAATTAAAACATAACATTAAAAATATTAGTTTCAAATACAATAATTTCACATTTTATTGAGCTAAGAGAATATAAAAATAGGAAAATGAAATGAAGTAAAGCTGTAAGCAAGGGATTGGTATATGACAAAAGTTTGACATTCTTAAGGTTTTTAAAATAAAACAGTTTTTCAATTTAGTGCATGAGTAATTTTTATTTAAAGTAAAAAATGTGAGGTTATCTTGAATAGAAATATTTCATGATAGGAAACTAAATAAATAATAAAAAACTTTAAACTAATCCTCATACTTAAGAGGAATCAATACAAGCTAATAACACTGATTAAGGCGATTTTCGGGCCATGTAAAGTTTCAGTAACGTACACTAAAAACAAGGAAAGAAATCTTTTTAATAAAGGTTTACTTTTGAACATATTTTCGTCTCTCGAGCAAGAGCGGCATCCGGCATTAAAAGGGTTAAAGTATATATGTCGACGTAAATTAGACCAAAACAAATTTTATGAACTAAAATGAAAATTTAAGTGTTTTGCAATGGTTAGAATCAGAGAGAGCAAATTTATATATGTTCAGCTTTGAAACAGAGTGTGTTCACCGTTGTTCTGGAGCATAGTGACAAGATTAATTTTGTGAGCGTATTCAAAAAAGGGGAGCAATGTTTAAATAGTAAGATTATGCACGCAACTAAGGATTGGATTCTATGTTAGTGGATGAAATATATTTGCTCAGAGAATTACTTTTAAAGTTTAAAGAGGAGATATACAATAACAAAACATCTGATGAGTCGGCGTTAGGAGTTTTCGAGTGAAAGATTATGAGTAAGATTTATGGTCCTTTGCGCATTGGACACGGCAAGTACCACAGACAATAGAACCATAAGCTGTACGAGCTATAATTCAGCGAATGAGAAACAGCGGCTACGCTAACTAGGTCATGTGTACTTACGCTTTGAAAGCATTCAATGCAGTACTGGCTAGTGAAAGCAGAGAAAGAGAAAGACCTCCACCCCGCTAGAAGAACCAGGTGGATAGTGGCTTCACTTGGTGTTTCAAAACTGGCTTCAAACAGCGAAAAGAAGAAATGAAAGACGCACTAATATTGATTCGGCTATAATCACGAAGGCGGTGTCAACGCCAGTAAAGGAAAATAATATGTTATACATATATATATATATTTATATATGTATTTCATTGATGATATATTTAAGCTTACATTTGATTAAAAGTTGCATGTACGCTGCCAGCTTGCAACATTAAGTCGTTACATTCTGCGTGTTTCATAGATTGCAATATTGTACGTAATACTCTGTTTTGTACATTAATCTAATCTAAATTTGCAATTTTTACTTTAGTTTATGAATATGAATATGAGCCATTCCATCATTCAATCTGAGGTGATCGCTAAAGAAGTAAGTATCGCCTGGAGCAAGATTGAAGACGGCAACCCCAATTGTAAGAGAAATAACATGTAAAGTCGCAATAGGGAAGTTGGCGGTCTTACACGAGTAATTTTATATTAATATGCGTCCTTTAAGAGAGCTGAGTATATTCATCTTAGATGTCCAACTTTCAAATAAAATAGTCCTACTATAATTTATACCAACAAGAATTTTGTTTAATCAATTTTAACATAAGAATCTAAATATATATTTTAGACCTTTTGCTAATAATATTGATATCAATTTAGCAATGGTTAGTATAAAGAATAATTTTTATGATTTGAGAGATGCTTTAATTTTTTGGAAAAAGAAGGTCTAATTAGAAATAACGTCTTGAGAGCTGTAAATAAAGTAATCCGGCTTATATTAATAAAAGACTTAACTCAAATTCTTATAATTTCAACTCAAATCCAAATTCAACGTTTAGAAATAATCAAGGTGGTTATCAAAATCAAAACCTAAGTAATTATTTCGAAATAAAATAAAGATAACGTAATTAAAAAACAAAAACAATCTCAGAAAAACAAGTATATATTTGTATTCCAATTTGTAGATTCCAATTTTTGTTTAACTGCCTCACTACCGATATTTGAATTAGCAATGAGTAATAAAAAATTAAGAGCATTATTTGATACTGGATCAACAACATCAATTTTATATTACCTGAACATAAACGAATTCCGTTACAAAAAAGTATTTGTTTTTCATCTCTCAATAACTCAATACTTATAAAATATGAAATAATTACTAAATTGACTAATGAATTTTATGAAGAAGAGTTCGGTGAGAAATGTCAGTAAGTATTAGGAAATAAAGACAACGACAGAAAGTATAATATATTCTAAATTACATCTATTATTATATACAATTGATGATAAGTTTTCGATTCCAAATATTATTTTGGATAAATTAGGCTGTTCACAACAATTGATTTTTTTGTTGTTTACTGGCGTAGGCCCCACTTAGGCACTAATGGAGTTACCAAGGCATTCTCTACCTGTCCTTTCCTCTTCCTCTGCATGCATCGGCGAGTACTAGTTACTTTTTAATTGCCTACTTTGTCCAAAGTAGGACTTGTTTTTAAAAGATTTTGCGTTAGATTTCTATGCTGACATTGTTGTTGCTGTTGAAACTGGTCAATAGATAGACGAAGTTTTCTACGATTTCGAAGTTAGCTTTTAGTGATGCTTAACGTCAGTTTACATAGCCGTATAAATTCTTTGGGGATACCCAAATTCGGACATAACGGTGTATAGACATCTCTTTTCATGATTCTTTTCCAAGATTTGGCCCATGGTGAATATCTGGTCAATGGTTGATTTACCGGTTCTAAAACCACACTAATAAGGTCCATTAATTTGTTGACGCTTGGTTGGGCTTTAGTCTTTTACACAATACTCTTGATAGAACCTTATATGCAATATTAAAGAGGCTTATTTCACGGAAATTAGCAGAGACTGTGGGATCGCCCTTATGTGGATGGGGTTGTTCACACTTAGGTTCCAAACATCGGGCATGATTTCAACTGGCCATATTTTGCAAAGGTGCTTATGCATACCCCATATCAGGTTTTAACTACTATTTTTGAGTAGCTCTGTCGATCTCCAGCGGCTTTATTGTTCTTTAGGCGAGCAATCTCTATTCGCAAACTCGTCATAGTCAGGTAATGAAACTTATTTTCCGTCGTCATCGATTAGGGTTAGAGGTTCACCATCTCCGGGTGTTCCCTTTTTCACTGTCATTCAGGAGGATAGATAAGTGTTCCCTCCATAAATTCAGTATACTCTGTGCATCCGCCACTAGATCACCCATACGGAGTTTGCTCCGGTCTTGAAACCTTCTGTAAGCAATTGTATCTTCTCATAGAATTTTCGAGCATTCCCCTTATAGACCAGCTTTTCAAGCTCTCATACGCATGCATCTCAGCGTCTTTCATCTCTATCCATCGCATCCTGCACGTGTTGTGATCGCAACGTATTGTACTAGCTATTTTTACAACCTTTCTGAAATCCAATAACTTCGTTTGCAGCTGTACGTTGGGAGCTTGAAATTCCGTCCCACAGTTTGCATATAGCGAGTTGCTAATGAGTTCTCTCAAAGAGCAGGAGTGCAAGTAGAGTAGAAGTCCACTCGGCAGTTTGGTTTGATTGCAGCTTTCGACGTCGAACTTTCGTTTTGTTTGTTGACGGGCGTTCTTTGATACATAGAGCGGGTATCTTCGCTGTTTGATATGTTGAAAAATTTCGCTCTGGTGCGGATTATGGCGAGACATTCAGCCATCGGAGTGAACGCCAGGAACTCCCCGACCGAGTCCTCTCCCACCACAAATCCGACTCCAAATTTCCGATTCTTTATATGGCCTCTGTAGTAAATGTCACAAAGACCTACTCGCTTCCGCTCATCTCCCGTCCATCGCACTTCTTGGACGGCAGTGACGTCAGCCTTTATTCTTACGATTAACTGTCCGGGCATTCCAAGTACATGCCCTCAAATCGCGATCTTTAATTTTCCAACACTTATTGGTTGATCCTTAAAATTTGTAACGGCTTATTATTTAGAAAGGAGAAACCGTCAAACTATAACTTAAAAGGAAGGTCTCAACGAGTACTTCGAAAGTGTCCTACTTTATTTGCGATAGCGAATTTAAAAGATTAAATATTAACGGTTATTTCAGAAATGAATTCTTAATAAAACGAACTAATTTTACAGGTAAGCGGATATTGAAAGTTTTCATAACACAATTGAACTTTATGCTCGTAATATAAAAGATGAAATTAAAGCTAAAGTGGTTTCATTTTAAAATGATTATAACTCACTTATCAAAGAAAAACATATTAACGTTGAAATTGAGCAATGGGATAAAATTAATTAATATTTTAACTACGAAAAATTGTTAAGTTCATATATTTAAAAGTTAATTTGGAAAAGGAAAAATTATACAGAAATAAGAAATTAGGAATATATTAGAAAATATAAGTAATAAAAAGGAGCCTAAACATAAACTGCATGATCTTGAAAATATTCATCGAAATAATATTTATAATAATAAATTTGAAATTTAAGGCATTGTCGATCCAAAATTGATTGAAAATTTAAATTTAAAAAAAATGTCTTAAAAAATTTAAAATATTAATTATAACTTGCTTATGATCTGAATCTGTATAATATTAATTATGTTTGTTTTGTTAAAAATTTAAATGATTGATAAATGAATGACTATTTGTTATAGATATAACTTATTAAGGTTACTCCTGTAATCACAATATGTCCATTAGCTTAACAGAAGACACTCTGTTAAGAAGAATAAGTTTGGGTATAAGCAAAGAAAATTTAATATGAAAGTAATAATTTCGATTCTTTGTATTCAATAGACTTCGTATTCACCATTACTTCTGCGATGCTTACGGTGGCCTATCCTGTCTCTCCCCAAAGACTTTTTCGATTGTATGGCGCTTTTGGTTGCATAAGCGACTTCAATTCGGTGTTTCAAGTCATACATCGTCTCTGGATGGACGTAGTTCACCAATCAAACGGTAAATTAGCTATCCATTTTTTATTGGTTATTTCTCATAGGGATTTTCAATCTTAAGATGTAACTGTACTTTAAGCCAAAACAAACACCTATCTTGAAGAATTAGGAAGAAGGAATAGGAATCAAATTACAGTGATTTGAGGGGATATTAGTCTTATATTGAAATAAAAATATGCAAATGCAAAATGATTTTTTTCTTAATCTACTACATGAGAATATCTATAATATTTATTTTTGTATAAATGCAAGGATTTGAAGAAAAACTCATTTTTTAACCAAGGGAAATTGGCACTTAATTGTTTATAACATTTGTTTAAAATGAGTTTCTCTTTGAAAAGTGTCGAGTGTGAGTGTAGTAGCCGAGTGGTTACCCTGCAAGAAGGTTTCCGATCATTTGAGCCAACATATGTCAGGAATGCGTGATGTCCTATCCAGTCAGGTCGTAGAACGATTTTCCCATCACTTTCTGCAGACCGAAATGACAAGTGTGATGTTTATATTTGTATACATGTACATCATTCTCTCTTCGTTTCTTTGGCTGCAACTACCCATTTCACTGCATGTGAAGAGGTGGGTAGAGTCGCATTAGATATGCTGGGGTCCAGCCTGGATAGGAAAAAGTTTATCCTGTTACAGTATCAAGACCTAAACTGTGCCAAGGCCGCACCGGTCTTTCGAGACAGCTCGAGCTCGTTGTCTGCAATGGGTGGTGGTTCTATTCCGAGCACGCCATTCACGGGAAGGGAGTATTTGAAGGTGCTCACTGTCTTCTGGTGAATGGCGTTCAGTGCCTGTCTGTACGCCGTCCTGTCCAGCGGTTGTTGTACGTATTGCTAGATGGTGTTTTTCATGTGGAGTACTCCATTTCTGTTGTGCCTAGCTGGTGCTTCAGCTTCCACCTATTCGGGTGTTCCCTGCGTTAGCATCCCAATAGGAATTGCTTGTACAGCAAAGCATTCGCGGTCCTGAGGGCGGTATTCTGGCAAGCCAGTAGCTTCTTCATCTGCATGTCATTTGTCCCCGGCGCCCAGATCGGTGCACCATAGTTTACGACCGGCTATGCCCACTAGCGCTTTGAGTATTTTGTTTCGGTTCTGGAGTTTTGCGGTAATTGCGCTCGTATGCGGAGTAATGGAGTGCAGGCTATCTAATGTTACTCGCAATATCTTTGGGTTGTTTACAGTCGCATTTTTTACGCCATCGATTTTCATATCTAATTCAAGTCTGTATTCTTTCGACCAGCTGCAATAATCGGCATACGAGGTTAGGGAAACTCTTGGTGGAGGAGTGAGTTTCTATATATAAACCTGCGGAACGCTCTGTTTAATTTTTCTAAGTTTCGATGTTTCACCTTAGGTAATGGGGACTTCTCAATGTCGGTAGTAGCACTCAATGGTAGACGGTGTCAAAAGCTTTTGACATATCTAGTGCTACCAGGACAGTTCGCGCGCTGGCTCGGTTTTGGATAAGGCCATTAACTATCTTCTTGTTTATGGCGTTTAGTGTTGTTGCTGTACTGTGCAGTTTGCGGAAGCCAGGCTAATGTGCCGCTGGACGCAAATAGTGAGTGAAGGTCGGGAGAAGCAGGGCCTCAAGTGTCTTCGCTACTGAGGAGAGGAGAGTTATCGGCTGATAAGACTCTCCTTTGTTGGCTTGTTTCACGGTTTGAGTAGCGGGTCACCCTGCCCTTTTTCTACACGTCAGGTATCATTAGGTAGTCAAAGACAAATTGACGACCTTGCTGAGAAAGTCTGCTAGCACCGATCCAACATGTTTTAACATCAGCATACTTATTCCGTCGGGGCCGATGGATTTAGTGGCATTCGCTTTCCCGATGACCCCCTGTACTTCTTCCCTGCAGAAATCAAGCGCCGCGCTGGTGTTTGGCAGTTAGCGCATACTTCGGGTTACACGTCGCTTCGCTTTGTCTACTGAAGGCTGCAATGTAAAAAGTCGGCTAAAATAGCTCGCGCATCTCTTCAGGTCCGACGAGGCGCGATCACCGAATGAAATTTCCACCCGGTCATCGTGTCACGTCGAATTAGACAACGACTTGACTGTAGCCCGGGGCTTGATTCTCCCAGAGAAGAGATTGAGACCCTAAAGTCTTCCTCCCACTTTTTCCGCTTGTGGTTCGGAATTTCGAAGGGTGTCGGTGTGGTGCCTAGATGCTAACACCGCCGCTTCTGTTGGAAAATTTGAGACGGTAGCGGGCGGCAGCGGTCACGACGACCATGCGGAAGTAACGTTCACCAGTAATGACGTCTGATGGAGTGGGGAGAGCACTAAAAATATTCTTGGTAAATTCCGTGAAGCCAGATTAGTTAGCTTTTTTGAAGTTGACAAATGTCTGATGATGCTTGTTTCCGCGGATCAGAAGAAGCCTGTCAATCGAGATTTGTAGGTAAGTGGTCCGATGCTAGTGTCAGTACAGGTCGCCAGACTATATTGTTTATCAGACCAGCACTCGTAATTGTTATATCCGGCGAGTTTTGGTAATTACCCATAACTCTGATGGGGGTTTTATCGTTCATTGTGCAGAATGTCTAATCGTCTATTTGTTCTGCCAGCTCCATTCCTCTATGGTCATTTAACAGGCTAGAAAACCAAAAATCGAGCTGCGCGTCAAAGTCGCCTAATAATCAACTGGACAACTTGTAACAGGAGGAATGTATATATTAAATATCTCGATCTCGGCATCACCTGACCGGATAGCTATGCCCTGACGTTCTAGTGTAGTATCCCTGCGGTCGATGTCGCCGTCGATAAGACGATACTGCACGGTGTTGTGTATGATGAACTCTAAGCCCCCACCATGGTCTCGCTCGCGATCCATGCGGATTATGTTGTATCCGGCCCGGCTCAGAAGATCTGAGCGTGCGGTCAACTTCATTTTCTGGATCACAGCAATTGACATAGGCTCCCGGCTCATATAGTCTACTATCTCGTCGATCTTTCCCTGGAGTCCGTTGTAATTGAATTTTAGGAGTCGAGTTTGTCTCGGGGCAACGTTCGTGATTCGGGGGAAGAGGGAGTGATGCGTAGATGGTGTGTTGCTGCTGTAATACCCGCTGAGGTTGATCCCGTACGTCGGTGTTGGAATGGCGGTACAGTTGTTGATACAGGCGGGGGCAGACTCCTACAGCACGGGGCAACGTACGTTTCACTCCACTCACGGGTGATGCGCAGGCCAAAGCACGTCCGAAAATAATACTAGTCAGAGCGAGAGTTGCATCTGCTGCGAGGTGTTGCTCCGTTGGCGAACTTAAATCCGGGTCATTTCCGGTGCGTATAATCGGCTGTCTTGAGAGTTTTAAGTCTTTAATAGTGTCATGGGCTGGTGACGTAGCTCTTAAGCTTCACGAACGCCTCTGTCATAATCGCGGCTCCGTTGAAGTATAAAGACGTCTAGGTAAAATAAAAAAATTATATTCCTATCATAATGTTATAAATTCCTAGATGCAGTTGTACCTCGCAAAGTTTTGTTGAATATTTTTCAGATCTGTTGCTACTGCAAGGTGAAAAGAATCGATTCCATTCAACCTGCTCCATTGACTGTTTTTTCCGTACAATGTGAGGTGCTCTTAAATAAAAGCAATGTAAAGGGTAATGGAAAATGAAGTAGCTGATTAATCGACAATATATTACATTATTACCACATTTGTTCTCTGCTATCTGCTACGGAAAAACTATAAAAATGGCGTTCTATTTGAAAATAAGAACATAAAATAAAAAGGATTATCCGTCCAACTGCATTCTCCCTCAATTTGTGTGTACTCAAAAGAGAAAGAAAAACAAAAAAATTTGCTTATGTGTTAGTGCTGGCCGGAATCGTCTGAATGTATTGGTGAACCCCTCAGCCCGTTCTTTCAGGGTTGTGTATTAACATTCGGATGGCCAGAGTTCGAGATCTCTTGCAACCAACAGCCAAAACTATAGAAAATTTTTGAGTCCGGTCGCCTTATCGGAAGGGAATAATAAACCATCCAATAAATGCAGTAATGACATGGAATAAAAATCCATCAGCCGTTCGGAGCCGACTTAGACTGTATATAAATAAATGTACATATAATATGCTTTTACATATTACAGTATCTCCGCAACCGATATAATAATTTTTAGTCCATGTAAACTTTCGCAGCGCTGAAATATCTTAATTTCTGCATCCATTTCCATTTTTTATGATAAACCTTGGTGATTCTCTTGACATTGATTAACGTGAGTTTCAATCCATTCATCGTACTCAATATGTTCCAGACTTACTATTGTAGTACTACAAGCCTTTCAATACTTGTATTTAACCTAAACATAAACGTTTTTTTCCTCTGTACCATCCAATTAGTTATAAATATACAACTTGGAATTACAACGTCTGGCCTATAAGGACAAGCGATTACTATGTTAAATCTTAACCTCGAAGGCATCTTTCATGAAAGGAGTACCGAAATCGTACGTTTTGCACTTGACATATTAAGAAATATACATTTTTGACCATTTAGTAAAAAATAAATATATTCTATTTAAAAGAGATGTCGATTTCACTGACTGTATATGGGGACTTTAACAAGCATATCATTAAATAATACCTGTTTCAAATAAATATTTATTACATATGTACATATGTTAATATTATTTATTCCAAAGTATTACAATTTAGTAAAAAAAAATTGAATATTCTTCAAATCAAGCAATTCAGTTTTTAGTTTGTAGTTTCATCTTATTTAAAATACATATTTAATGCGAGAAAAATTTAATAAGTAAAACCACTCTACTGAAGGGTTTTATAAAGATATTTTTCAAAGTTTTAGACACATAATAGCTTTCTATTGAAAATTTATGAAACAAATATTTATATGTAATTACAGTTACTAATTTATATATGTTCGTAAACATATTTCTTACTCGTAGCCTACATCTTTGTCGGTGTACGTTTCCAACGGCAAAGCAGCAGTTTCATTGCTGCATTCCATCATCTCGACATCTCGGCAACTGGATGCCAATAATTCCCTTCGGATTTCAGGTGTAATCTTTGGATGTGATTGCTTTCTGTATTGTAAAATATTAATTTATAAATTTAGCTAGAAATATGTAACAATATGAACTTGTTATAATTAACAGCAAAAATTTTCACCTATTATTGGAGGCGACCTTATCTTAACTATTTCTAATAAACAAATCTCTTACCTCAACAAAGTAAGCAAGGCTTCCTTCTGCTCTGAGGAAATATCGTTCTTATAGCGTTGTGCGAAAGTTAACAGACTTTGATGCCAAAGAACGGGCATCTCACGCTTATCATTTTCAAATCTGCGAACAATCGTAAAAATTTACCAAATATTATAAAATTTATTTAATCCAAATATTACCTAATAAAATGAAAAACAGCTGCATCGATTACTCGATAAGGTAATGCATAACGTTTATCCAGGAAAAAGCGTATAAATATCGAATTCGCACCAGTGTACCCCATCTCACAAATTTTAAGCAAACACGCGGACGAATGCAATACCGGTATAGAGCTGCGGGCGATAACGCTGCCAAAAATAATTGCTTCCCTTAAGGTGCAGTCCCCAGCCTCTAGCAGAGGCAGTATTATTCCCTTCATAAAAGCAGCTGGCTTAAATAATGCTTTCTTTAATGCATTATATAAGTGCATGTTTAGTTTTTTAAACTCGCAGAGATCGTCTCGTATACGCGGCAGAAGTACTAAATTGAAAAATCTTTGCGCCATAGCATGTGAGAGTACTGAGCAAAATATACTGAAAATATATATTTTTTTTAATTATTATATTTACTTATTAATTATAAATATTACAATGCAATATATAATTTGTTTTAAGACGTATAAAATAGTTAAACCTACTCGATTTCGGTCATTAATTTTTTGATTTAAAAAAAAGATAACTTTTTTTAGTTTTTAACATGTAAGCCTATGGCACTAATTTAAGGTTTTTTAAATCGTTATTTTCATAAGTGAAAATAAAATATGGATGATTTTAATAAAACGGTACATAATTTATTTTCTTTTCGATTGAAACTTTATTGCAGGATAGGTATTGATTACTTTTCTCAATGTTTTTTTTTTACTTTTTTTACTTCTCATTGCTAAGTAGATAAATATATATATTTACCGTGTCCCTTGAAACATAGCTGCTGCACTCCAGTTATGTGGCTCTGTTATGAAAAGAATTTGTTCCCAATTGCGCAGCCTAGGGATAATTTTAAACGCTTTCGGCACCTTTCCGCTTCTATAACGTTTCATTACATCTCGTACTCCTTCGTACATTTCACGGACCCTAATCAAAAAATGTAGTCCTTGAGTATTTATGCCAAAATCGTCGTAAAAATAATAATATTTATTGTATATGCAGTAGTAACCAAAATATATGAAATTTTTTAGAAATATATATTTTTATCCCATGCTGTTGACTTTCTACGGATACTGGAGGGTTTTGCTTTAATTAACGAGTTTACAGTTTGCAAAATCACAAATTGGAGGAGAGCCGGCGGAAAATAGCTTCAGCGGTTACAGAGCGCCAATTATATATACAAATCTTTTATCCGATAAAATGGGGGTGAATAAAATTTTAGCTTAATTACCTTGGGTCAATGTCTTCTATTTTTAAAGATCCATCATCTGTAAGTTTGCTTTGAATATCTAGTTGTTTTTCTTGTATTTTCTCAAGTATAATTTCTGATAACTTTAAAGTTCGTTTGCCTTCTTGAGGATTTTGAAAACGTTCAAAAGCCTTTGCGTCCTCATCATCGATTTCTAAAGTATCTATGAAATCGTTTTCCGTAACCTCTTTATTTTCGTCCTCATCAGAAAAGCCACCTAAATGAGTTTTATTATTGATAGCTCCAATTTAATATTATAACCAACAAACCTATTTTGACATTAGCAAAGGCTTTTCTTCCATCGAGGCTAGGGAAATTGTCATCGTTCAGCTCAAGTTGTTGCGCTTTAGCTGCAGCTAAAATCTTTTTACTTGTTTTACTATCTAGCACCTATATTTATAATTTGCATTAGCTATTCTTCTTTTGTTAATATTGTTATAAAGTACATACCGCAGATTCTTCTGCACGTAAATGGAATTTTTCTTTACTCTTCCGCTTTGTTACTTTGCCTTGAACCAATTGTTTGTCTAACGCTACATTTTTATTTGGAACTATATTCGATTTTTTCGGTTTAACCATTATGAACAACAATTTCTCAAATTACTTTAATTTAAATTCGCGTAAATGTTCTCTCAACAGACACACGTGTTTTGTTTTTGTTATTTTTTTTTCCTATCTTATTAAATGTCACGATTTCACCTTGTCTTCAGCTGATGGAAATTAATTATAGTTGTTCTCGACTGAAATAAATTGTCGAAGCATATACAAGGCAAGTTCACACACGGAAGTATCAGCAGTACAAAAACAAAAAGCTTATGTATTTGCTGGTCTAACATAATCTTACGATTTTGCTGAATCAACCTCGCGGTTTTTTTTATTCCTTCGGGTACGATCTCTGAATTGTTAAATAAAATCTCGCCAACTTAATTTGCAGTTTCCTTCGGTATAAAGAATTTATATAATGTCCTTTATTTACTCAGTAATACACAATTCAATTACAATGCACTTTACTAGTTATAATCACTTGTATAAACTTTCACAATCTCTTTACTTAAATGTAATTTCCAACGGGTCTACTTTACGACTCAAATAGTTTATTCCGCTATACTCTATGTTGTTACCAACGAGTTCACTTTGTCACTGACCTTATGTAGCAGTTGGCTGCTCGTAGACGAAAGTGTAGAATACTCGATTTATTCGCTATCGAAGGTTCTCGTTTAGAATGTACTAGTTATCGGCTTCTCTCTTTCATCTGACATTCGCCTCGCATTTTCGCAACACTGCCCTCCACCTAAGTCTGATCGTCCCAATCAGACATATTCACTGTTCCAAACTCAGCAAGCCTTCAAGGTGGACCACTTCCATATTGTTTCTTGGACTCCCAACGGTTTGGATTCGGTACACTACGTCGTTTATGGACCTTCCCAATTACATTGAAGGTTTGGGGACAATCCCCTCTTCCGTTGTGAATTGTACAGCAACACCAAATCTCCATTTTGGAAACC